TTTCAACTTTTTTTTGAAGCGCATTGTAAAATTTTCAGCTATGCAAGAACATGGGACTTTTCGATTTCGAAGGTATATTGAAATTGATCTCTTATTTTAATGAACGCCTCATATTAAGCAAAAAATATTAAAAGTTTTTTATATTTTATTAATAATTCTTATTTTTCCCAAATAAATAAAAATCAGCGTAGCTAACTATCTATTGCACCACTTCTCTTCATAGCACATCATCGACTCTTTCGATACAAAGATTCAATTTGCAGTTAAAGCTAAAAGGAAACACACACAACACATTATTATGGCCTGCAGGCGAAATAGGTTTACGAATCGGCAAATATTACTCATTTCGCCTCAGCATAAAATCGTCATCAGCACAACACTCTCCATCAATTCTTCATTCTTATTCTGCGCTACATTCGCTGCAGTGCATATTTACATACATACATGTGTTTGTATATATTTATATTAAGGACTGCACCTCTCCTTTTGTAGTTCCTTCTTTCTTTTAAACATTTTCTTGCTCACTACCATGATACAATAATTTTTAGAAGGTAGTTTCACTTCTTCTTCTTATCCGCCATGTTAGGTATCTGACAGAAAACGTGTTTCGTATTTTTTGTTGTACCAACTTTTCCAAAACAAAAAATCCAGCTTTTGACGTTGGAAAAATAAAACAAAGAAAAGCCAAACATATAAGTAGAGAAATTTTCGAATATTTTGTAATAATTTTCTTCATAAAAAATTAACTACTGCTTTCGTGGATATTGCAACACACGGAATAGATGTAAGGACACAGCTATAAGAGCCACCGCACACCACAGACTTTATCGGCCGCCTATTTAAATGATAGGGCTCGCTTGAAATATGTACATGAAGATGTATGGAGGTGCGCACATTACACCAGCTTAGTCGCTCTGACCAATAAATTGTGGTGCAATGGAAAGACTAGCGAGCACATCTAAATTGGCGGCCGATAAAGTCCGTGGTGTGCGATGGATCTAATCCATTATAAACAAGAAATATTGCTGTTATATTTTCATTTTTATGATTTTTATTCACGTGATTAGCAGTGGCAAAAATGTATGTACAAAATACGTATATTTATATTAAAAATTAAGTGATCAGTTATGAAACATATATCTTTACATGTTCTGTTAAAAAATATCTAAAATAACAAGCGATAATCCCCAAGTTCTATATCGTAGCAGTGGCTACATAGCGTGTTTGTCACAGACACAGTTTATGTCACAAATTTCGAAGTGAAACTACCTTCTAAAAGTTATTGTATCATGCTCACTACATTTGCGTTATGAACTCATTTTGGTGAGTTTGCGCACAGCTGACATCGCTCATTTTGTCATACTGCTCCTGTCATGCTGCCGGTTTGTTTATGTATTTTGACATAATATTTATCCGGCTATTTGTCTAAATGGCGTATACGTAACAATCTCAATATCGCTTCTATATACATACATACATATATGAAAGTATGGAAGTATGTATGTATGTATGTGCTTGTGGCTTGCTATTTTTAGTAACGCAGCTGTCACAACAAATTTTGTTTTCTCTGTAATTGTCAAAGATGACAAAAAAAAAAAAAAAAAAAGAAAAAGATTTCAATATTTACGTTGTTGTTGCTGATGGTACAACAATTAACGAGTGCATGCGGTTAAAAATAGCTTTAGAAGATAAAGTTGTTTTTCTCACTAAATGTATACATATATTTATATACATACATACCGTAAATTAATACTAATATTTTTATAAGTATAACGAAGACCACCCTAGTAAAATGTATACATATGCCATAAAAATTAAAATCAACAAACAATTTTATAAATTAATACAGACATAACAAAACACTAAAGGCCGGTCCACATAGAACTTTCGCGTTGGCTTTGGCGTTGGCGTTGGTTTGACAGAACGCACGTTAAAAGTATGCTTGCTACAATGAACGCTTTGACATCTATTGTTTTCATTGTCATCACCAAAGCGAAAATTTTGCAGTGAAAATATAATTTAAAGTGTGTTTGTTTTTTAAAAGCTATCGCAATTAAAATGTTGTCTAAAGAAGCGGTTGAAGTCATTTTAATTGCACTAATGATGTACGAGACTCGCGAATGTTTGCGAAAAATAAATTCCCGCCGGGAGTCTTGGGTGAGACCACTTTACTTAAGTCGGGATATCAATGGACTATTTGCATCAAGTTTTGAAGAAATGTATAATAATGACACTGAGCAGTTCAAAAAAACGGTTAGAATGAGCAGAACGATGTTTGACCATCTCCTCGGACTTGAAGGAGAGCGTCTTACTAAGCATTTCAATAGGCCATCAATACCTGCCGCATTAAGACTCTTTTTAACTTTGAAGTAAATTAAAGACATTAACCTATAATCTTTTGACAAAATAGAAATGAACTTGGTATATTTATAGTTATTTAGCACATGGAGGTAGTCAGCACATGCTCGCCATATCATATAAAATGGGACGCTCCACGGCAAATAAAATCGTTTTGGAAACATGTGAGGTTCTTTGGGATGAACTGGGTGGCATATACTTGTCTATACCAAACCGACATGAATGGAAACGTATTGCAAACGATTTCAATTCGATTTGGAACTTTCCCAATTGTGTAGGTGCTATTGACGGAAAGCACATAATATTAAAATGCCCTCCTAGCTCGGGATCCTTATTTTACAACTACAAGGGAACATACTCCATCGTACTTTTGGCATGTTGCGATGCTAATTACACGTTTACCTGCATCGATATTGGTGCATATGGCTCTCAAAGTGATGGTGGTGTATTGTGCAATTCGAGCTTTGGGAGAAGACTTTTCGACAACCAATTAGACCTTCCCGAGGATGATATTCTGCCACACTCCACCCTTAGATTTCCTCATTTTTTTGTTGGAGATGCAGCATTTCCCTTAAAAAGCTATATTATGCGACCATATCCAGGTTTGCATATACTTTACCTATTGAAATTTTATTCGTTTTTCTAAACACACATATACGCTTTTTAGGAATACGTTTGTCGCCTGACCGCGAACTTTTCAATAAGCGTCTTTCAAGAGCTCGGTGCGTTATAGAAAACGCGTTTGGAATTATGACAGCTCGCTGGAGAATTCTTCTGTCCCCATTGCAAATGCATCCAACGAGTGCCGAGAGCATTGTCAAAGCAACAGTGCTATTACATAACTTTTTAAAAATGCACGATGGCACTTATTGCCCACCAGAATTTGTCGACCAATACCAAGGAGACAATATTGTCGGTGGTTTATGGCGACAGGAAATTACAACGCCCCTTCGAGGAACTGGTCGATTAATGGCGAACAATGCCGCCAGAAGTGCTTTCAATTTGAGGGATCAGTTAAAAGACTACATAACCGCGCACCCTATTAATTAAATAATAATATTCTCTTTCATCAATTTGTTCTTAAACTATACTTTTAGATGTACCTATTTTTTCATAAATTCATTCTTTATTAATTAGTATTGGTTGCTATCCCAGAATCCATCGTAGTCTGATTTTTCGCGAAATCTACGAAAATGCGATCACTGGATCCGAATTAAAACGAAGGAGTGAATTAAAAGTATATGCTACGTTCGTTGCTAATCGAATTCAAGGATAGCATTTTCGTAGATTCCACGAAAAATCGGACTACGATGGATTCTGTGATAGCCATGATTAGCACATCATTTTGGTTTTGCTTTTTAAGCACATACAAAAACGATACAACAAGATACAGCCCGCGACAAAACGGTAGCACATCAAAATTTTGATCACTTTTGACTATATATCTTTTCTTTCTTCATTATTTTTCTATAAAATTATAGCTCATTAGCTAACAAAAATCTTAAAAATCCAAATTTCACAAACTTTTCATACCAATTTCAATCATATTTATTAGAATTTCTAATCATTTTTAGTATGCTGTTTTATAACATATACAATTTTACAAATTTTGAAATTTAGATTTATATGGCTTTTGCTGGATAAAGAACTATAATTTAATAAAAAATAAATGAATGTTAAAGACAAAAGAAAAGTAGTAAAAACTGGTCAAAATATTGATGTGCTATCTTTTGTCGCGGGCTGTAGTAAACATTAATTTTTAAATTTTTAATATGTACCACTATTTTAATTCCGAAATTGGTTTTTAAATTAATCATACTCACTGTAAACACCATACATTTTAAATAAAATATTAGTATTATATTGTACATACGTGTGTATGTATAAACATTAACTTTTTATTTTATAATTACAAGGCACAACAAAAAACACTTAAATATAAATTATGAGGATTCAGTGCTCTATTTAAAAACATAAATTATGAGGATTCAGTGCTCTATTTAAAAACATAAATTAAGAGGATTCAATGCGCTATTTAAAAACATAAATTAAGAGGATTGAATCCCTTATTTAAAAAAGACTATTTCACTAAGTTGTACACCTCTGTTCACAAATATTGGAGTAGAATTCAAAATGAAATTTTGTGCAACCTAAGAATATTTATTTTTAATAATTTTCATTCAAATTTTAGTTTATGGTAGATTCGAAACTTGGATTTAAACGTATTCGGTTATAAATAAAAATATGATTTAAATGAAAATTATTAAAAATAAATATTCTTAGGTTGCACACAATTTCATTTTGAATTCTACTCCAATATTTGTGAACACAGGTGTAAATAAGTTACGATTACACAGGTACAAAAACAATTTCACAAAGTATTTTTTTGAACACAGGTGCAAATAAGTGTAAGGTACAAAAACAATTTCAGAAAGTTATCAATTACGGATTCGCAAACAGCACAATAGTAACAATTAACTGCAACCCGAAAGCTTTAATAATAGCTAAAAAAATTCAGTTTTCTAAGGTTCTAGAAAGCTATTTATTAAAGCACCGGCTCACAAAAAAAAAATTAAACACAATTGTAATTGAATACGTAGTTTAATATTTCCATTTTCAATGTATCTGGTATCTGTTCTGAATGCTTTAATAAGTAACTATCCAGAACCTTATAGAACTCGTAATTGCGGCTTTTATCAAAGCTTTCGGATTCAGATTGCCTTTCTACGAATTTATTCACTACATCACATAGTGACCCAAATCTCTCATTTGCCTTGTCTTCCATTCGGGCCCGTTTTTTTTTATGGAGCTAGCGTCAATAGAGGCTCTTGGAGAACTAATTTCTTCGCAATTCTCCACCTCTGAGTCCTGTGTGTTGCTGTTAATTGTATCCCCATCCGTTTGGGAGAAATCCAGGCTCGAAAACGTTCTGCAAGTAAACAAGAAAAATGTTATTAATACATATTATATATTTATGTCATCGAAAAACTAAACTGGCAACCAAAAGAGCGTGGTGTTTTTTTTTTAATATTTGCAATGTTTTTCAAGTTAAAATGGTTATTTCCTTATAAAAATATGGTTCATGTTTTAATCAAAACCACATAAGTCAGACTTTCATACCTTATACAGAACTTATATATACACTTATACACAAACTTATACTTATATACAAAAAACACCATGCACTCACTTTAGATTGCCAGTGCAAACGGCACAATCATTTCAGTTAACTATTTTTAATTGAGTACACCGTCACTGCATGTTTCATTGATAAACTTACCTTCGAGGAGCAACATGATCTTTTAAAAAACTCATTGCCTCCATGTGCGACCATGTTGGCATTTCCTCAGCAGCAGCCCCCGACCGCCCTTTTAATGCAGCAGTCTCCCGGACGAAGCGGTCCCTCAGAGACTTCCACCTCGTTTGACAATGCTTTTCTGTCGGAGGAATTTGATTTAAAATTTAAATACAACTTTTAATATATATATGCATACGTACCAGATACGCCCACCAGCTGTGCCACCTTCTCCCAAGCCTTTTCCTTTAAAAATTTGTTTCGGAAAAGGTTGGAGCTTTTATCGTAGAGGCAGGGGTGCGCACTGACAGCTTCTATTAATTTATCTTCCATTTTACCTGCAAATAAAACAATAATACATACATATTTATATCGTTTGTTTGTTTATAAGTGTAAAAAACAAGTTTTTACATAAATTAAATGTTTACTCACGTTTTTAAGTGAAAATTCAGTCAATTTAATTTGTTCGCCGCGTCCTTCTCAAATTTTCATTAAATTTATATCCATCAGCTGATTGACAACGCGCGCAAAAAGATGAAAGATGCCCATCTTTTTGCGTGCGATAACTTTGGCGTTGGCGTTGCCGTTGATATGTGGACATGTTCATATAATTGTGCGTATTCATAGTCAGCTGTTAATCAACGCCAACGCCAACGCCAACGCCAAAGTTCTATGTGGACGGGCCTTAAGTATTCCTGCTTCAGCGTAGCCTGGTTGTTGTGAGTCTTAAAGAAATTAGAGTCCTGCGCAAGTGTATTTGCCGCATTTCGTTCAATAAGTACTCCTTGCATTGTACTCTACTCCCAACACATTGTTACTCTTCTTCCACATACATACACTACTTGGCGTTGAGAGAGTAAATACTTGACGTACTTGCTATTACTCCACCAAAGTACGCACTCTACTTTCTCTCATCGCGTACGAGAGATATTTGCTGCCGCCAAAAGGGAGTAGCAAATCTACTCTCTGTATACTTGTAGTACGGTAAGTACTTGCGTATTAAATTTCAATTCTGGTTGTTAGCCTACTAGTTGATATCGTTTGCAGCGCTGGTCAGTGAAATTGAAAGAGTAAAAATAGAATATGGAAATTGACGATGTAAGGAAATGTTTACGGCCTTATTTATAAAAAATAACGTAGATTTAGACAGTTGTTTAATGTGACATTTTCATAAAACTTGTATATTCAAGCAGCCTTTTAAATTTATGTATGTACTTAAATTTTTACGAAAGTATTATTTCTCGTCTCTCATTTTCTACAAAACTATTTGCAGCCATTAACCAACAAATAAGTTGTCAAAAACAATAACTTAAGCAATGCTGCTATACGAAATAAAATTACACTATGTAACAAGGTTTTTGTCCCTGGGTTGTAATTGTTATTTCCGAGTCAGTTAGGTCCCAAAAGTATAGAAAACAGCTATTGTCGCAAGATAACTTTGCTTTTGTGACCATGGCAGCGCTTATTTGCGTTTATTTTTATGCTTGTTTGTTGAAAACTGATACACGAGCGCATACAACTTGTTTTCTCTACATTTGTGTGTGTTAAAACTAGTGTTGGGCAGTATCGATTCCAAAAGTACTCAGTACTCGATGCTGAAAAGTATCGACAGTACCCGATGCTTAAAAGTATCGATACCAAAGTAGTAAATACACAAAAGTACTCGATACTGCCCAACACTAGTTAAAACAACAAAGTCGTCGCAATAAATTTTGCAACATTTTTGTGATTTATTGAGAGTTGTTTCTTATTTTATTACAGAAAAATTCGTTCAAACATGGCTTCACGAGGCTGCAAGTATCCTGCAGATGCATTATGTTATGTCTGCGGATATTTTATCAAAACAAGAGCGAAAAAGTACTCTTTGGAAACAGGTTTTAAAATGTGCGAAGCTTACAATGCTTATTTCGGCATGCCTGTGGGTGATCAAGACAAATCCTGGGCACCTCATTTCGCGTGTGAAAACTGCAAAAAGACTTTGGAAGGTAAGACATTTTAAAACTATATTGCTTTGTTATGGGTAAAATAAATGTTTCTATTAACTTTTTTATTAGACAGTACTTTTCTTTTCTAATTTTTTTTTTCAGGATGGTACAGAGGGGAAAAGAGAGCTATGAAGTTTGCTGTGCCAAGAGTTTGGAGAGAACCCACTGACCATTCAAGCAACTGCTTTTTCTGCATGGTGGACCCTTCCAAACGTCGGACTGGCAAAAAAGCAAGTCAAATCATGTATCCTGACATTCCTTCATCCATGGTTCCAGTTCCACACAGCTCTGACCGCCCCGTTCCTACTCCTCCAGAGAAAGAGCAGGTGTCTTCCTGTGAGAGCCCTGATTCCATGAGTGTGGAAGACAATGAAGGTGAAGGATTTAATTTACTAGCTGATAACAAAAACCCATACTATCCCAACCAAAAGGACATGAATGATTTGATCAGAGATCTTGGTCTAACCAAGTCCGATGCTGAACTTTTGACGTCCAGACTGATGCAGTGGAATTTGCTGGATCCTAGTGTTAAAGTCACATGTCAGAGGAAGCGTCACGAACTTTTTTCCAACTTCTTCATCAGCGAAGATGGGCTCTGCTTCTGCCACGACGTGACCGGTCTGTTCGAGGAAATCGGAATTGATTTCGAACCAAAAGAGTGGCGCCTCTTCATTGACAGCTCATGCAAGAGTCTCAAAGCCGTGTTGCTTCACAATGGCAACAAGTATCCGTCTCTTCCTCTGGCGCATTCAGTATCTCTCAAAGAGAACTACGACAATGTCAAGAAAGTGCTGAACGCATTGAAGTATGAGCAATATGGCTGGGAAGTGATCGGAGATTTCAAAATAGTGACATTCTTAATGGGCCTGCAAGGCGGTTACACCAAGTTTCCTTGCTTTCTATGCCTGTGGGACAGCAGAAACGACAGTGCACACTACAGTAAGCGTGAATGGCCACAACGAACTGAATTCACAGTGGGGAGGAACAACGTCAAGTGGGAGCCCTTGGTGGACCCCCAGAAGGTACTGATGCCACCACTCCACATCAAACTGGGTCTTATAAAGCAATTCGTCAAAGCTCTCGACAAAAATTCTTCAGCGTTCAAGTACCTACAAGACTTGTTCCCTAAGCTCTCTGAGGCGAAAGTTACAGCCGGTATCTTCGTTGGACCACAAATAAAGAAAATCTTCGAGTCTGAGGAATTCCCCAAGAAGCTCACTCGTGTTGAGAAAGCTGCTTGGATGAGTTTTATGTCAGTGGTACAGGGATTCCTAGGCAATCACAAAGCCGCAAACTACGTGGAGCTGGTCGAAAGTCTGGTGGAGAACTACGGCAAAATGGGCTGCAGGATGTCTCTCAAACTCCATATTCTGGATGCACATCTTGACAAATTCAAGGAGAACATGGGAGCATATTCAGAGGAGCAAGGCGAGCGCTTCCATCAGGATATAATATAATTTGAGCGGCGATACCAAGGACAATACAATGAGAACATGATGGGAGATTACATTTGGGGATTGATTAGAGAAAGTGACTCGCAGTTTAAACGCAAATGTCGAAAAACCACCCGCTTCTGATTTACTTTTATGTTTTTTGGTTTTCTGAAGTTTTAATAAAATTTAGTTTTGATTTATATGTGCTGTTCTGTATGATTTTCTCTGTAGTGAAAGACTCAAACACGTTTTTCTCATAATTTTAGCATATTTTAATGAATCACATTGTCCTGGTCACAAAAACAAAGTTTCCGAGGAATATTAGGTGGTTTCCATACTTTTAAGGCATAACAGACTAGGAAATAACAATTACATCCCAAGGACTGAGAAATTTTTTTTTTTTGTTACTTGTGTTATTGTGTTTTTGTGTTATTAGTGGCAAATCAAAATTTTGAAAAGTGCCGGTGCTGCATACTGATTTAAGAAATTTTTTATAGAAGAAAATTTATATGAATTTTTAGTTTTTCTTGAGAGCCTTTACAAATAAAAAAAATTTCGGAATATGTACATACATATGTACATACATACGCAGCCATATAACTTGATTTCAAGAGAAACGAATTTTCATTTGGCACGTTCAGAAGGCGAAACAGCTCAGTAACTGGTGCGATTGCACCTTCTGAACGCGTTGTTGCGTACTTCTGATCAACTGAATAGTTGCGTGTTAGATGATCGTAATATTTTTCTGATCATTTGAGACAACATGTTGGTGTGTACCTTTGAGAGTTGAATTTGCCAGCTAATGTATGAAGTCGTTCAAAAGACTCACAACGATCACTGATTTTTGTTTAGCAACGGTTGCGCTCAACTGCTGCGCCTTCTGAACCTACCTATTGATAACGGGCCTGTTCGAGGCACGTAATAAAAGCGGCATTACTGCCGTATTGATGAAAAATGGCAAAATTGTTGCAACAGCCCAACTGATAATACATTGCTAGAAATTAACACAGAACGCGATACTGATTACAACTCGAACAAGCCCAACTTTTTTTTTTTGATAACACTGCGACAGCTCAAATTGGTATTGAGTAAAACCAAATGCAAGATCATGATTCAATAATACAAGGTTCGATAAACTGACAGTTGTCTCTCACGCACCGCTCCCTTAGCAGTGGCACCGTGTTGCTTCTTTGCAATTTTACATGGAAACAGTGTAGCTTTGGTGTGAAATAAAAGTATATGTTTTTGTGCAATATGTTTATTTGTATATGCATATGAAGCATATTTAACTGATGAAAACATAAGCATTGGACGTTTACATCAATCTCATAGTAGTCTTATTTTAATTTTGAGTCATTTTGCAGTTTTTATACAGTTAAATAGCACATAAATTACATAATTCACGTAGATATATCAATATTGCGTTCAACATTTCGTTTAAAATGCCAGATTTCCTGCAAATACATTAGATTTTACAAAAGGAATTTCACTACTAATTGCCTAATTTGCGTACTTTTCTACTACTATTTTCGGAACAAGGGATTGCATTCTTGACCTTTCTCTGTCCTTCGTAAATGCAACCTTTTGTAAGGGAGTGTCAAACCGCAGCTGTCAATAATTATCTAACCTTGTATTATTGGGCATGTTCAGAAGGCGCAACAGCTCAGTAACTGTTGCGATTGCACCTTCTGAACGCGTCGTTTTGCACTTCTGATCAACTGAACAGTTGCGTGTTAGATGATCGTAATATTTTTATGATCATTTGAGACAACATGTTGTGTGTTTTGAATTTGACAGCTAATGTATCAAGCCGTTCAGAAGGCGCATTATGATCACTGATTTTTTTAGCAACGGTTGCGCTCAACTTCTGCGCCTTCTGAACCTACCCATTGAATCATGATGCAAGATAGAGTTTTTGAATTTCATTGAGTTTTTTTAATAAATACTAAAATTAGAGGTGTATGAATGGCGAAAGAAAAACTGTATCCGATTTTTTTAAATCGAAACTACATTTTTACATATGTACATATGTACATATGTACATACATGCATACATAAATATATTTCATATGAAATGAAATTTTCACATCAATTTGCTATATCTTCAAACCCATGGTTTCAATTGTACGCATATCGTCAGGGTTTTCCCCGCAACTTGGTTTTGCTGCAGTGAAGCGACAGAACAAGTGACGAGAAAAAATATATGCGGACACTTACAT